AAAAAAAAAAAAAAAAAAAAAAAAAAAAAAAAAAAAAAAAAAAAAAAAAAAAAAAAAACGATAAAGTTATCCAGCCGTGTATACCTACTTATGAATGATTGGTTATTCAAGGCGGCACTGCCGGAAAAGGGGGCGCACTCGAGCTTGGGCATGACGATGCTGAGCAACGGGGTGACGGGGGGCCAGGGGGTGCTGATCGAGGGCATAGTGACCTTTCTCCTGGTGCTCGTGGTACACGGGGTCACCGATCCGAAGCGCGACGATTGCAAGGGCTGGCCGCCACTGGCCATCGGCCTTACCATATGCGTGGCCCATTTGGCCGCTGTCCCGTTGACCGGCAGCAGCATGAACCCCGCCCGGTCGCTCGGCCCGGCCGTCATCATCGGCTTCTGGACGGATCAGTGGATCTACTGGGTGGGCCCGTGTCTCGGGGCTCTGGTGGCCGGGGCGCTCTACAGGATCAGCCTCAGGGTCAGGAGCAAGGAGGACGAGGAGGCCTCTTACGATTTTTAATTTTACAGGTTGTTTTTTTTTTTGTTTTTTTGTTTTTTTTTTTTTCATGGCCACGGTGACAATGTTGCAGTGAACAATGAACTCTATCGGAGCGTCGAGGATTATTTTACGAGTTCAGCCATACGTGTGCTTCGAATCGAGAGTCGGTGCGAGCTGATTGTGCGTTGGTATTTATCGTTTATTGAGTGCGTGGAAAGTGTGACCAAACGTCGAGAAGGACGTACGCGTTTGTTGAGTCAGTCTTGAAGATTTGCCAGGTATATTCTTTCACCTGAAATTATGAGAATCGGGTGAAGGGAGGAGCAATAAATAATATATAACTTATCTGATAATTTCTTGTGCCAAATTTATAAAAGAAGCTTGTAATGGATCCACCAATGTGTACGATTGATTTTTTTTTTTTTTTTTTTTTCATCCCTAGTATCGCAAAAAATTAATAATCGACATAGTTGTTGCGCACGTCCTATTATGGGAACTAAAATAATCTATAATCAAAAGTCACTGATTTACGCACAAATATTATTCAACGATATTTTTTTTTTTTTTTTTTCGGTGATGATTCTTTTTTTTGCGAACGATGTTTTGTCATACAATAATTTGCACACGATGAAAAAATGTGTAGAATTCTTGTTTGCACTGGGCACAGTCTGTTGGCGCGTTCAAATAGTGTAAAAGTTCTACACAGAGATACACACACATATATTTATATAATATTTTTGTGTACAAGACAATGTAGACGGTCTTTGATTTCATTTTAAAAAAGTGCTTACTCGACAGAACTGTTATGAAAAACGTTTGACAAGTATCTATTACACGAAAATCAATAAATGTTCCCTTGAGTAGCGCTTTTACAGCGGCAAATACCTTCTTCCTCATTCGCTCTTTTTTTTCTCACTGTTTCCAAGATTACTCGGCATGATTTGACCTTCAAACATGTCAAACATGTCAAACATGTCAAACATGTCAAAATTTGTGAAAATGTCCAGGACTACCGAATCTCGGCTCAAAATTATATTTAATGTCGTGTAATAAAAAAATTTGGAGATCACGTAAGAATTTATAAGAGCCAACAGTGTACTGTTACAGGTTTTTTTCTTTGTTTAGTGTATACATGAGTGATTATGCAAAAAAATTATCTACAGATAGGCTTGATCATTAAACAGCACGTAACTCGATCCATCAATTGGAAACGTGTAATTTTCTTAGTTAATAACATCCGCTTATTAATTTTACAATGGCAACGAAATTCTAAGAATTTTTTGGACGAGCATAATATTTCAATACATTGTGTGAATTGTAAGATTGAGTTTATGTAGCTGGTCTACATGTTGTACAGAAAATAAATTTATGCGGATACTCATGTGAAAAGTGTAAAAATTAATTTTGTTGAATGTAACTATTTGTACTACTCACACAGAAAATTCAAAAAAAAAATAAAAAATCAAAAATAAAAAAAAAAATGAGTAAAAGGTACGACACTGAAAAAGCATAAAAAAAAAAAATTGCTAACTTTTTCAACATTAAAATTAAAAGATTAAAACGATTCATCTTATTTTGAACGTGCATCAAAGAAAACAAAAACACTCGTTTTATTTACAATAGAAGATCCGGTTGCAGCATGCAAGCTTAGCATAAGATTAACAGTTCTGTTCATTTATGTGAAATGATAATGCAAAATTAAGTACGATGAAATCTTGCAAGAATTAAATAAATAATTAAAAACAACATTGATACAATTTACTTTATATCTCTCATTGCTAAAAATCGATAATACACAAAAAAGTTCCATCATATCCTTATTACTATCTTTTAAAGACAAATTCACGAATCAGTTAATATACAATTTAACAGGTACCATATCGTTATCAACTATACGTCACGTTTTCATAATTTTTCCGTAAAAAATTACATTCATCAACTTGAAAATTCTTACACCTACAGCTAGATCATTTAGAAAATGCATTTTTAACAAAAAAAGCTATACCCAGGAAGCAAATTTATTTATGCTTACTTTCACAATGGCTATAGTCATGGATTCGGCCATAGGTAGCATTGAAAAAAATACAGTCACAAACATAATATGATATTATATCGACTGACCTTGAAAAACATTACTGAAAGTCAGAGGAGGAGTGTTCAATGACAACATTTTAATTTTTTATTTCAAAACATATATTTTACAACTCTCCAAAAAGAAAAAATTCATAGTAAATCATAAGTCTCACACAACAATTCTTTTTTGATTTTGATTTTAAAAATTTCTGATATAATCGGTAAAATATGCGTGTGTGTGTGTGTGTGTGTGTGTGTGTGTAGTTCAAAGTATGAGGAAATAGGTCAAAAATTTGAATTAAAAATTAAGATTTTAAACTTATGCATACTTAACTTTAAACATATTTGATGTAATTTAATAGCAGCTGCAGCCATGTTGTATGATTCATTTTCTTTCTCCACTAAATTTATCCAAACCAATTGTATTCTGTACCTGAGAAAAAAAAAATGTTCAGTACACTTTTTTTGAGTAAATAATTGCTGCTTTACAAGCACTATACACGTAGCATTGTAACACATTCAATCCTACTTTGCAACGTTGAAAGTTCCAAATGTGTGGTAAAAAAAGGCAATTAAACTTAAAGAACAAATTCCACTGGTGAAAGCAAAAACAGAAACACCTATGAATTGTACTATAAAAGTCGCAAAATAATATTCAGTTGGATCAACTATAAAATTGGCTTGTATAACATCTCGCTCGGGGTTCGTTCAAGGGTAATATCAAGTCCAAAATTACAAGTAATAATATCATCAGACCATTGGATAGAAGATTTGTTTTAAACGTGGTACTTTTTTTTACCACATCACCCACAAAAGTTCATCATGGATCCCATTCCATCACTGCTATATTGTTATACTACATATTTTATTTGGACTATATTTGTATAATACGATCTATGTATGAAAATCATGTTTCAAAACTACTATCGAAACTTAGAAGCCGTTAGCTATGAAGTCCGAATTGAAACCGTTACTTTCTACATATTGCAAAACAACAGAAAAAAATACGGTTTCAAACTTATTTTAAAATAAATAATAACAGTACCTCGCTCATTTTAACGTTTTTTATAAAGTGTTACGCATGAGCCAAATCCTTTTTTTTTTGTTTCTGCGTCCTCAAATTCTAATTGGAAAGGAAAAAAATAACCGGACCTTGTACTCAACAATTTATACAGTAACTTTTTTTCTCTTTCAGCCATATACTTTAACGAATGTTTTATTTTATCAAAAGTGTTTTATTTTATCGAAAATGAAGTGGTTATATATGGCTTCAGACTTTAAATCGGCAACAAATTGAGAGTACAGTATACGTATAAACGGCGAGCGACATGAGGTCCCTCCTATAAAAGAGAAATTTGTTTTACGTCTTACCGGGGCCTAAAATAGAAACCAACCGAACTAAAATAGCAGCAGCACTTTGACGAAAAAGTACAGCAGTGGCGGTGCAGAGCTGTGCTCTCTAAGCTCGGCAGTACCGAGGGAGCCTCGATTACGATGACGATGTGCATTTAAATAAAGTGTCGTTTACCCCGGATGGGAAGCCTTTAGTTGTCATCATTCAAAGATATTCTTTAACGTTTACTCCAACGTTCGCTTCGTGCAATACACATTGATTCCTGAAGGAAAATATACGTACCCATGGCGTAAGTTGTATCGAATTTTCGTTTCGCCGACAATACGTTGTCAATTAACACTGTTATCGATTTATACGTATAGATTTTCAACGTGTTTCGTTTATCCTAACAACGGTTAACCGAACAATTTGTGGGGAAGAAAAAAAAAACGTCAACTGTACAAGTTGACGCGAAAATCGCGTAGTTGTAGGGTGTTGAAGTTTTTTTTTTTCCCACCCGTGTAAGCACATATACGTATGTATAAACACCTCGTGTGTTGTGATGAGGCTATCAAAGAATTTCCGAAGCATAAAATTGCAAATAAAAGAGTAAAACAAGTCAAACGAAACAGCGACGACATGTTGGAGGATTACTTCACGGACGAGTTCAAAGAGAGCTACCTGCAACTGGAGGACGAGCCCGAGTACGAGGCCGGCGAGTTCTTCTGCGAGAACCTAATGAAAGCCCGGGCCTCGGTCTCGGCCGAGCAGTTCCGCCGGTTTTCCGGCCTCGACGGCAACGGGGCCCGGGTCGGCTTCCTCATGAGCCTACCGGCCACCCACGAGTTGCCGATCATGGCCGATTACAACTACGACACCAAGAGCGCCAGCCGGGCCAGGTCCCTCAAGGCTTCCGGCAACACGGCCTTCGGCCTGGGCCACTACGAGGTCGCCATCGACGAGTACAACGACGCTGCCGTTCTCGCCCCCACCAACGAGGGTGAGTGTACATACGCGCACCACCAATATAAGCTGTACAATCGTACACGTGTAGAGGTTGATCGGGCCAAGTGTCCCGTGTGCCGCAGAGCTAGCCGTGATTCTGGCCAACCGGTCTGCCGCGTTGTACCACCTGGAGCGCTACCAGGTGGCGCTGGGCGACTGCGACGAGGCCTTGAGGACCGGCTACCCGGGCCAGCTGCTCTACAAGCTCGAGGAGCGCCGGGCCCGGTGCCTCCTGGCCCTCAAGCGCCACCTCGAGGCGGTCGACTCGTTCAAAAGGGCCATACGGGCCCTCGACGACGCCCGCGAGCTCGCGCCCGATAAAAAGGCTAAGCTCGAGGCGGACATGAGGGTGATGCTCGCTGTGCTGCTCAAGGGGGAACAGCTGAGCCAACGGTCGGGCCCGACCAGGCAACAACTCCTCCATATGGAGAAAAAACGGTTTGTTCTCGACCCATTGCGTGTACATGTACATGTATACATACACAGGTGAGTTACACTGCATATACGTGTCCGTTCTTTGATGTTGGGTGTAAAGGGCCGAGGAGAGAGACGCCACGCCGAGGATGAGGGAGCGCAACCCCGTGTACCCGGCGTGTAGCAAGGCCGTCGAGGTGAGGGACGCGGGTGGCGACGTGGGACGATACGCCGTAGCTACGAGGGACATCCGGCCCGGGGAGATCCTCGTCGTCGAAAGGCCCCACTGCGCCACGATTTTGGCCGAAAAACGGTCAGTACCTATAGTATGCCCTTTGTATACCACATCTATACTTTTCCGGCTTGTGTATATATATATATATATATGTATATATATATGTATACGTATGTATACAGTTTGACGCATTGCCACTGGTGCACCGTGCGTATAAGCGCGGCGTACCCCGCGGGCTGTGGGGTGTGCACTTGGGTCGCCTACTGCAGTACCGGCTGCCGGGACGCGGACGCCCGGGTCCACGAGTTCGAGTGCGGGATCCTCGGGCCCCTCTGGAGCACCAACACCTCGGTGACGTGCGTCCTCGCGCTGCGCGCCGTCATCCAGCAGCCGTTCGCCGATTTTGTGGAGCTGAGGGTGGACGAGCTCCGGGGGAGGGCCAAGCCGAGCAGAGCCAGGCCCTACCTGGCCTCGGACTACGGGACTTTTTACAATTTGGGTACGTCCGCGGTGACGAGTTTGGCTGCGTTGACCGTATACACATCGATGCATATGGTTATAACTTGTTGGCTTCGCTGATGCAGTCACTCACGAGTCGGAGAGAACGGCCGAGGACCTCTTCCACCGGGCGTACATGGCGGGGTGGCTGCTACGGGTCCTCAAGACGACTTCGTACGTGCCGGACGCCCTTAAGACCCCGGATACGGCGGACCAGCCCTTGTCCGGGCCCGAAGTCTTGATCGCGGACGCGATTTTGCACCACATACAGCTCCTCCAGTTCAACTCCCACGAGGTGCGGTACGACAACAACAATAATAATAATATTGATGATGATGATGATATGTATATGCGTATATGCACACGCGAAATATGTATTTAACCGAAATGATGAAACGTATTTGGGAAGATATCCGAATTCGTGAGGCCCCGTAAAAGGCCCCACTTGACGAATGGGAGGAGCGAGTTCGTCGGTGGCGGGGTTTACCCGACGGTGGCGCTATTCAACCACTCGTGCAATCCCGGAGTCGTCAGGTTTTTTTTTGAAACTTTTCTACACATTTTTTTTTTTTTATGTACATTAAATATATACACGCGTATGGTAAGTATACAAATACTTTTGACGGCAGATACTTTGTCGGCAACGCGATGGTCGTTCGAGCCATCCGGTCTATTCCAGCTGGTGGGGAAATTTCCGAGAATTACGGGCCGATATTCACCGCGGAGGAGGAGAGCGAGAGAAAGCGTCACCTGCGACTTCAGTACTGGTTCGACTGCAATTGCGAGGCGTGTAGGGACCATTGGCCCCTTTTGGGGAACATCGATGCGAATATTTTGAGGTGGGTGTATACACTATATTGTCTCTTTGCACTTGAAACTTTCGTGGGTTTGACGAGCGAGCAAATTTTTTTTCCTTCGAACAGATTCAAATGTGACACGGGGCCTTCCTGTGGCAATGTTTTGCTAGTCGATGCAAGCACCGATTCGTTTATGATCTCGTGCTCAAAGTGCGGCAAAAGTACGAACATATTGAAGGGGTTGAAAGCCATACAGGACACGGATTCGCTTTACAAAGCGGCCAAGCGACACCTCCAGGATAACAAACCCGAAGAAGCATCAAAGTCTTACGTGGAGGTTTTGAAGGTTTTGGACGAAAGCTTGGCTCTGCCCATCAAAGATTACCATCTTTGCCAACAACACTTGCGCACCTGCATGCTAGCACTGGGAAATGCAGCTATCGAAAAGTTTTAACATTTTCGTTCATCATCAATTGGTATAAATTATTATTTTCGCAATAGTGTGCGGAAAATGGGTGTTTTCCGCACGGGTATTAGTGTGGAAAATCGATTTTCACACATAGTGTGCGGCCAAAGGTTTTTCCGCACAGTGTGCGGAAAATGTGTGTGGAAAAGGTTTTGCCACACACCGGAAAAAATTTTGCTACACACTGGAAATCAAAATTCAAACCTATTTTGTACCTATTTTCCTCACACATTGCGAAAAAACTTGTACGCAACTCGTGCGGGACGATTTCCCGCACTCGTGTGATAGACTCGTGGCTCGTACCTTGCGATCACACTCGTGCTACGCACTCGTGTGCTCAACTGGTACCTACTCGTTCCCGTCAACTCCGGCACTCGTGTGAGTCAATCACTACTCGTGCGGGAAATCGTCTTTTCCGCACTTGTTACGTAAATAACTATTTTACATCCGAAGAGGAAAATTATATAGATAAGAATGAAAAAACATTTTTCAAAAATATAGATTCGTCTGATTTTTTTTTTTAATTTCTCTCTTTTCTCGTCGTGGTATTTTTGTAAATAGGCATAATACGTCCTTGTCCGAGTACTTAAGACGTGGCGTATCGGAGCCCTGCATAAGACTAGCTCGTAGCCTGTTTCTAATAGTAAGTGTGCCATTTTTTTTTCTTTTTTTTCCATCCCACTAACTCTATATACGTATACGTATCGTGGAGAGAATAAGTTGAATATGAAAAAAGAAACATGATATAACATAAAATTTTCCAGCAACATTTTTTATCGTCAAAAAGTAAGCTTTTACCAAAAAAAACATGAGCCCTTTAAATTCATACATGTGTGTGTGTGTAATATATATGTAAGCTTGTGTAATACACGTATAATATACATTTGTATAACCAGGTTTATTATACCTCTACAATACGAAAACAACATGAAAAAAGCATGTAGCAATGTAGTAATATGAAAAATGTATGAATAAAAAAAAACATCAGCTCGATCAATAATATATTTGTCCAGGAATTTATCAACAGCAGAGCAAGTGGAGTAAGACCTTTTTATTTTTTGTTATGCATAAAAAGGAGGGTACACAAAAACATGAATATTTTTTAAAAGTAATGAATTTATGTTATTTTTTAATTGAATTTATTTGTAAGGTACATTTTTAACAATTCTTGCAATTTATACAAGGCTACAAAATTTATACTTTTGGTTTTCATCACATGATTATAACGAACGCAAATTGATAAAAAAAAAAAAAAGAAAAAAAGAAAGGCAGTTAGTTTTCAACGAGTTTTAAAATAAAAAATAAAAACCATTGCTTGATTAGGCGAGACTTTGCAAAAGATCAGTTATAAACATCGAGGGGTTGGGAATTTCTTCGAGAAGTCCTGTAAATAGAATAAAATAAAATTTGTAATTCTTGTCATTATTATTATACTATGATAAAATAAAATATTTCATACTGACCTGAAACATCGCAAAATTCATCGAAACTTGCACATGGCAGCAGCTCGTCTCGGTAAGCTGCAAGAATTTTTTCCGATGCTTTTAACAAAGCTTCATCATTATGTCGAACGTATTCAGCCAAGACAGCTGGCCATTGATCATCACTCAAAACATTGACTTTCTGCAAATACAACACAATCGTTATTTAACGCCTTATCTTAATTTGACAGCGTTAAATAAAAATCAAACACGATCAGATTGGAAAATAAATATTTACTTTGAAAAAGTGTGCGTAGATACAGTCAACGAGACCAAAGAAAATCAGTGCACTTTTATAAACTGAATAATCTTTAACGGTGGCGTCAGCCAGCGTTTTGGTCGTTGCCGAAGGCGAAACAAACCGCTGGTGCGCAAGCAATATCAGTCTTCGTAGGTGTACCAATTTCGAGCGCTTCCAGCGTTCCGGCGTTAAAAGCAACATGGACAGGGTACACTGATAAAGTGGGCCTTCGGCATCATAAGAGCTATCCAGCCAGGCTGAGCTGGGTGATGATTCTAGGTAGGTAACAAGCGACTTTTCCTCCCTAGGTGCTGATCTCGTACTAATTGAACCCATTACGAATATTTGATATAATGATTTTAATGTGCACAAAAGATTTGTAGTTCATAAAGAAACTTGATATTGCTCAATACTCACGTATTAATAACGTAAAGGGCCATGTGAATGAGGTAGGGAATAATGTGAATGTTCGACTGAGGGCCACCTCCACCTGCATCATGGTGCAAGCTCTTCTCTTGCGCGAAACGTAAAAGCAACAGCTTTAGGTCGTGAACTGTAGACGTGTAGGAGATATCCCTATGTCCAGTGCACTCCTGGAGATAAGTGTTGTGTCTAGCTAAACAGCTCGCGAAAGCTGATTCTGGCACTTGTGGTCCCCAAAGAGGCAATAGACCGTTGCATTTGGTGTTAGCGTTCTGCAAAGCGGCACTCTCCCACTCATCACGCGCTCGAGCCAGTCGCACTGCTGACATGTGACAGTCCACGTGTACAACGTTAAAGTGCGAGACCGTTGTGTAGCCCATCGTTTTGCGTTGCTTCGTTTCGAACTCTTCTACGTTGCAACGCTTGGTAAACGTGTAAATACCCAGAACCTGTCAAGAGAAAAATTATTCATCGATGAATAAAAAAGCTCTGTCTTTTGACATAAAGAAATAACGCTGATCGACATCATCAAACACACCATATTCGGTTTGAATTTATAGCCTTCCCTGCAGATAACACAAACGAGGCCAGTCTCATCGCCAAGATCCTCCATTTGTTGCAGTATAGCACCGCTCGCTGTCACTTGTCCCTTGTCATTTGTTCGCATGCCTAAGGCACCAAGTTGCCGTTCGCGCATAGCCATCGCCAGCCTTTTCTTTTCGTTACGTGTATGTTGACGCACCTCCTCAATCAGCTCAGCGACCTTTTTATTCGTGCACAAAGCTTCCAGCAAGTTCTCGGCCAACGAGCCCACGTGTTCGTTTGACGATACTTGTTCTAGCCTGTGAATGATACTGATGGTGATTTGCGACGCTGCAAGCTGAAAAATCGAAAGATAAATGAGTTTCTGATCAGAAATTGCTTCAGCACGAAATTGATTTTTGTTCGATTGAAAACTTACTTGCGTTGGTTCGTGGTCCGTTGCCAAGCCCGTGAGGAATCTCAAGATGTATTTCAATGCCGGTTTCGATATGAATTCCTTGAGCTCGTCACTGTCTGTTCTCAAAAGAGTTGGTTTAACACAAGGCGCATGAACCTGAAAATAGAATTGAACAGTCCATTGCTTAAAGTTTCTCGAGTACAAAGTGGATTCTCAGATGATCAAACATTTATCAATCTTACCGTGATGTACTCAAACGCTTCTTTAACAATACCCATGTTGATCATGTGATCCTTCAAGGTATTGCCAATCGCGTTTCTTTCGATTCCTTGAGTCAACACACAAAACAGCTCGAGTTTCTGTTCATCCTCCACAGTGTGTTCATAATCAAATTTATAGAAATTCAGGACAGGTTTGAAGTAATTGCAGAGAAGCTCCATTTTATCTGGGTTGCCGTAGGTCAGCGCCGCAAGCACCCTCGCCAAATGTTGAAGGACGCTTACACTTTGCCTCACTGCCGTTGACTGAGTACACGAGAGTAGGGCTTTCACGTGTTCGGGACTGCCGAGGGTGCGCGAGAACTCCTCGAATTTTTCCAACGGCTGAGAAGCTGCATTAGCCAAGATTGTCTCCATGATGTCGAGCAATTGTTCGGTAACTTTCGACTGCGTATTGTCAGAATCGCTTGCGAGACAGCGTTGCAGAACGTCGAGCAGTACAGTCACGGCTCCCAATTCGGGTCTGCTCAGGACATCTTGGTTCTTTTTTACTTTGACCGAAAGTCTAAACAGTTTCAACAATACTTGGAGCAATGGCCTGGCCCGGCTCACGTCTTGAATCGCCGCAATACGATCGAGCATCACCTGCAATCCACCACAATCCGCCAAAACGTTTGCCATCTTGTACACTTCTTCGTTGTTCACCTCCTGTTCACTGTTGGCGTTTAAAGTTTCAACAAATTCTTCAGTCGCGTCGCCGAGAAGACCGCGCATCCTGTAAACGACACGCATCGCATCGCACTCGCCACCTTCCTGTACCCAAACTTTTTTGTATACCTTGGGTAAAATAAAAAATTTAATATTAATTTATTTTTTTATTTTTTTATATACATATAAACTATTAAGCCAATCGTTTCGAGATATCTTACCTCTTTGACAGGAAGATCTAAGCTTATGATTTTATTATTTACGAGCAATTCCATTCCATTGTCGTCTTCTAGCAACGCTACTAGTTCGCAGTCTTGGCAAATTTTGTTTTTAACATCGCGCATAAGTGGCCCTAGACCTGGTTCTAAACTACTGTACGGATTTCCTAACATACGCCCCTGTAAAAAGTCCTCCTGTTGCGGATCCTTTTCCAACGTCAAAAAGAACTCCCCTACGTCGTTCTCCTCGGGATAAATAATCGAGCACAGTCTTTCAAATATAAATACAGGAGTTCGTACGTCCTGGGGACTGTATTTTTGTACGGTTTCAACACACACCGCCATAAACGCTTTCGTTTCTTCTTCAGTACCTACAAATACCCACAAGTAAAATATCATAACCAAAGTAACCTACACTCTTTTGACAAGAATTAAAAAAAAAAAAAAAAATAGTAGCTTCGAATACCAACCAGTGGTCATTTCTTCAAGGAGTTCGAGCAGCTTTTCTTGCGTATCATCAATCAGTCTCGTTCTCTGTACAACCAGTCTTCTCAGCGACAGATAACCATTGAGCACTGCCCCCACTAGTCTGCCCTTGTAATGTTGCTTAATGTTCTCCTGATCCAAGAAGGTCGACAACAGCTCCGTGAGCATTTTAAGTGAGTAGCCCTGCGCTAGATCGCTCGTAAGGGTCGTTTCCTCGAGCCTGTGCAACTCGGCGATCTCCTTGGTCAGTAAATTAGCCAGGATGTTGAGCACACCTCTGACAGCGAGGAACTGCTTCCAAGGCACTTGCTTAATCAGGCTTTGATAGAGATTCAGGTATTCGGCGCTGCTTTCGCCGGCGACGCACAACTCGTCCAGGTAGCTTGTAAGCAGAAGCAGGACCTCTTTTTTGCGTTCGGTGCCCTGGCAGAGATTTTCGACCATGCTGCAGACGACCTGGCGAGCAAGGCGCGAGCTTGGGTTGAAAATGACCTCCTTGAGCCACGAGCCGTTGGTGAGCTTGAGAGACTGTAAACCGCGCAAGTGCGCGCAACGATAATACCAGCGATAACCGTATTTCTCGCTGAGATAGAGGATTCGAGCTTCCTCCTTCTTTAGAGGTTTGTTCTGCTGCGCATCCGTTTTCTTTGACGGCATTCGCTTGAGCCACTCGTTGTAAGAGTGCTTGTTGTCGCCGCGTAGCCATTCGCCAAGGTCAATACTGACTCCTTCGGGAGGCTGAACCGTGGCCAAGGACTCGATGGTTTTGTCCTTGTTTTTTTTCGAGGCAGGCTGTTCGGGCTTGAGCAAACTCTGCAAAATCTTCAGGCACGGTAAAATAATACTTCCCATGACGACTGGGCTCTTGGAGTCCTTGCAGGCCATCAAGAACAGCTGCATGACGCATCTGAGTTTTTGCTCCCAACACGAATCCTCTTTCTGTATCAAAGCGCCCAGAAGAGCCATCTCGTGTCTCACTGCCGTCGACAGATCCGACGTGACCACCCTACCTCTAAGAGTCATCGTGACCCTGTTTGTCAGCAGCGCGCACAGCTCTTTTGTCGATTGGGTATTGTCACGAGTGACAAGACACAACAGCTGCCTGACCTCCTCCTGCACCTGTACAGTTCCTCGCCTCAAATTGTGTTCGACCAGTTCTTGGATGAGCCCCTGTTTGCAGAGCACTTCGCGCGCAACGCTGTTTGTCGCCAGAGCTCGAAGTAGCGTGAGACAATGCTCGGTGGCAGCTGAAGCGCAACCGTAACATCGCCCGACGACCGGAGTAGCCACGGTATTGCTGCTCACCGAGTCCTTATCCTTTTCAGTTTCTTCGGGAATGATCGAGCCACGATGGGTCACGCTCTGTCCACGTTGATTGCGATCGTAGGCAACTAGTTCACGCCTGCAGGCCAACACGCGCTGGATGATTTTGCTTAGCTCTTCGAACGACGTTTTACAATCGCTGCAGTACTTTGTGGCCAACAGTTGAATGGCTCGATTCACTTGGTTGTTGGATCCACTGGCGGTCGCCTGAGTTACCACGTTGTCTTCCAACGAACGGTCCAGTCGGTGCTCGGAAATCTTTAGCTGCGTTAAATAAAAATTGGACGTTCAAATGAGAAATATTTAATAAAAAATAAATAATAAATAGCAACTACATGATTTTGAAGATTAATTACTAACCAAAAGTGTCTCGAGCGTTGGTTTGTGCGTGATCAAGGCCTTGTAGACCCTGTCGGCTTTTTCCAAGTGCGTGTTTATAGCAAATACCGTCTTCTTCCGATCTTCGTCGCTTTCGATGGGATCGACGGCACAACAAGGCCTCGCTGTCAATGTGTAATCAAACTTGGCATACTTGCAAAAGCCACAGGCATGACACAGGAACGGATCCTTTTCATCGTAATTGATGGCACGGCACTTGTGACATTGGTAAACATTTTCACCACAATTGGCGCAAACGCCCGGGTTGGCCGGCACACTGGCCGAACAGCGAGGACACTGGAGCGTCTCAGACGAAGCCTGAATGTTTTCGTAGAAATCGGCGTACTCGATCATTAGATTGCACGCAACGATCGGTAACTGGAACTCCATTTTAACTTCGGTCTGGCCTTGCCCGAGGTTTGCTCTCTTCGCCTTGTGCCACATGGCAGGTTTGTTCTTGAGCTCTACTATGGCTTGAACCGTTCTGTTGTTGTAGTAAACGTTGATGGCGCGAACCATCTTTGTACGTTTCAAGTCGCTTATACGCAAAGTTATGCGGCTGACGTTGTGACTACTCGTGAGTTTGATGATTTGCGTGGTCGTGGTGAATTTTGAGTCCATTTTTATGGAGGACAATTTGATTATAGCCATTGGTACTTCCGGATTGTTGCACACGAGACAAGGCTCGCTCTCCAAATAATAACCATCGAGCTCAACGTACTGAGCAAGATTAGCGTACAAATTAGCATTGGGATGACGCGAGAGAACTTGATTCTGAGCGTGCAATACCGCGACGGCTTGCTCCATGTAATAGTGCATTTTTTTACTACTGTGAGGAGTTCTGAGAGAGAAGAAGCCAACAAGATCGACAAACTGCGCAGCCTTGCGACCGTAAATCGGTAGGTATGGCCACAAACGCCATAAAAGATCAAGTAGACTCTCTTGGTCGGTGGCATTGGAATGTTTGTACATGGCTTGAACTAGAGAATGGGCTTGCCAACGTATATTCGTGTTATTTGTTTCTAGCAGGAACGTCTGTATGAATTTAGTGAGCAAAGCTTGTGGGACTTGCTTTTGAACCTGCTCGACTAACGTAATGCACTGAGTTTCTTCGAATTTAGCTTCGGTGTCGGAATCTTCGGATTTCTCGCGTTCCCGCCTCTCTTTACTGTTGATGGCTGACTTTGCGTCCTTGCCCTTGACATCTTTCGATTTGGATGACGAACATACTGCGCACTGAAGCAGCTGCAGAACAGTCGGACTGATACCTTCGTCTAACAACGTGGAAACAGTAAACAAATACGATAAAACGTTGTTATTTTTCAGGCAGAATCGTTGCCAATTGCCCGTTCGGTTTGTAGCTATCTCGACGCAATACTTTAAATGCTCGATCAGTTCTACCAAGGAATCATAGGGCAAATTGATCGAATGGGGCAAAGGTTGCGAGACGTCGTAGCCACCGTTGTTACAGCATTGTTGTACGGCTTTTACGTGAGAAACCAACGCATGGAGATCACGAAGTTGTCGGTACTTTTCTTTGTTGCCGCAAATAAACAATAATAATTTTCGGACTTGTCGACGCACGAACGGCGTTTGGTAGGACATCATGTACTCGCAAAGATAGTAGTACCAGGACTGTTGATCAAAGGCCGGTTGAACCGTACCAGTTTCAGCGTACTTGTGCACTTGATAAGGCAATCTTAGAGCCATTTCCGTTAATAATTGAGGATACGGTTCGAAAACGTCATTTGCGTGGCCTTTAACGTACAACCGTAAAAAGAACGGTGACATGTCGGGAGGTGAAGTAGCGAGGTGCTCTTTAAGCAGCTGTCCTCCAATAGCTACTCCCGACTCATCAGAAGAAACTGTCTTCCAGTATTCTAATAATGCTTTGAGTAAGGCCAAGCAATACTCAATGACCCCTGACTTGCTTAAGGTAGCAGCTGTCATTTGCGACGTGAAGTTCGAACATTCAGATTGTCCTTTGGTATTGTACTTTGATCGTGACATCAAAACGCTTAGCAATCGCATAATCACGAGATGAACTTCTCTCTTGTTCGTTCTATCCGTAACGCCATTCACATCTGGCTTTTCCATGTTGAGTTCTTTGACAAACAAGTCAAGCAACTCGGCGAAACATATTCTGTCCCTTTCGTCCTGGCTATCAAGATCAGACGTCAACATTAGAATGACCTGCATGAAAGGAATGGCACGAACTCCAGGAACAACAGACAGACTGGGAATGAACTGCATCAGTCTATCTAGTAGAAGAAGTCGCACGTCGTGCAAATTTTTCGTTATCTCCCCGGCAATTTCGTTCTCTTGCTCGATTCCTTGTTCTTGTTCGGTGTTTCCATCTTGTCCAGTACCCTGCAATAATTATGTTAACGTGAATTTGGTTGTCCTACATAACCTATACGTATGAGAATAAAATTGAGCTATATATATTTTCTCACCGCGAACGTGGTCGGTGCACTGGTTGAGCTACTTTCAGATCGAGCTTGTTGATTGGATCGGTTTCCACTGGCAGACATACCATCACCCTGACCATCTCCGTATGCTGAACTGCGACCTGATACACTGTGTTCACCCATTATACTATCAACAACACTTCCACCGCTTTCACTACCTCCACTTTCACTGCCACCCTTGCTGCCACCCTTCGGAAAATACAACAAAAAAAAAAAAGAGCGTGTTAATTAAGAAAATATATTGTTATTATGTATTACATAAAATTTACTTACCTGTTCTGCAGGTGACGTTCTCAGTGTGCTTCCGTCCGTTGCTGCGGTTGACCCTTCGTCATCCGAGCCACCAGCTGAAGCAGTAGTGTCAGAATAATGGCCTGCCTCTTGTACCTGGAAAAGAAAACGTGAAGACATTCAGTTTATAAGTTAAATCCATTTTGATTGTAATTAATCGAATTGAAAATAAACATACTTGAGCTGCTCCATGAGCTTGCACTAAGCCCTGAGCAGCCAGGGCTTGTAAGCTTTGCAAAGCTTGTCCACTGAAATTCTGCAATCCTTCTAGTCCAGATAGATTTGCAAAGCCTTGTTGTAATCCCTGGAGTGCCTGTATCTGGGCACCACCCTCTTGATCCTGAAGACTAAGGGCTATGGCAAACTCAACCATGGCATCGTCATCCTCGGGATGGGGCATGTCAAGGAGCTGAGGAAAAGCACCTGGGCCGAGAAGTGCTTCAAGAGGATTACGGGCCGCTGCACCACCAGCTGCCTGGTTACCACCCTCTGCACCCAGCAGCAATGATACTACGTTATCCACGTCAAGTTGCTCATCTCCCTCGACGGACTCAGCTGGTTGAGGTGGCGGTGGTGGTGGCACTATAGGTGCAGGATTCTCTTCAACTTCGACTGTTGTTACTAAAATATAATGAAATAAGTATCAACTTCATTTGGTTCAGGAAAAAACTTATTTATAATAAAATATAAACGTTCTACGCACTCGAGGAACTGTAATGTGGTGGACTTGGTATGTACACTTTGCGTCTCTTAAATCGAGGTCGAAGTACTTTGATAATAGCTTGTTTAGTGGTAAAACTGATTGTCGCATCAGAGCTGAGCAAAAGTTGCAAGTACAGTTTGGCCGCGAGTGGAGTGAAGCCATCCACATCGCAAATAGTAAAAGCGTGAATGATCTCGATGATTGCGTGAATAACAGCTTCGGTGTGAGTGAGACCAGGAACAACTACAGGTGCCAATGCCAAGTTATTTGGATAAGCAGCGTGCAACAACCATAACACATCCATGATTTGAAGCATCAAATGCGGCTCAGTATTATCGGCAGGAGCTTTGCTTTTGTCTGATTTTTCTTGATCAAAGATTGGAACTGTAGGAAAAAAAAAAAAAAAAATTGTTAGTGTTTTTTCTGGATAAAGTTACACAAAATGTGTATGGACTTACTTGAATTTTCATCAATAACTTTGGTTGAATGCTGCTCAGCAAATTTGTACAAGTTTTGTGGTCGGCTTACTGCTATGCTTCTGACGATCAAGACTAATCGATAAAAGTTTTCTGCATCAATGTCATTAGGATCATCCAAGTTGCGCATAGTTTTTAATGTACTAAGGGCATGGGTCAACAAAACTTGGTCCTTGAAAATTAATATGAAAATTTAATGATAGTTATTATTGAAGAAAATATAAATATTCAGTTAAAAGTTTCGTTCGACCTACCTTTAGGGAATGATATGCTGATTTTGAACTGTGCAAAGCAGCTAAGAGGGCAGTTGTGTGAACTTGTACTGTCGGCGGTGTTGGAAGGATAAGTATGTTAGAAGCAACTTCGACGGCAGTCTGTTTGAGGGCTGCTTTTGTCTCATCATTTGATAAAGTGAATGACGATTCTAATACTTCAAGAATACTGGAAACCATTCTAAAAATTTGTATGTCCGATTATTTTATAGTTTCAACTTAATGATTCGGTGAAAAAGGGTAAATTAAACATAAACTAAAACTATCCCTAATAATTGTATACGAATCCTGCAACAACTCTTACCTTTCGATTTTAATTGACTCATCCTTAGTTGGTCTGATTGCATTATAATAATAATTAATGACATTAAAAATTGTTCATCGTTTCAGTTATATTATAAAATTCAACGAGTTAAATACGCACTTAAGTAATTTTTTAATTATTGTTCTTACTTGTCAATAGAGTTCAAAGGTGTGGGTGAAACCGTCGAATTTTCCGCGTCGTTGCTCGTTGCAGTACCGGACGTTGGTTGGGCGGGTGTTATTTGACCCCCAGGAATTTCTTCTGACTCCTCCGGCCATCCAAACGTATCTTTTGTCTTTCCATAACTGTAGAAAAAAAAAAAAAAAAAAAAAAAAAAAATTCGATAGAAAAATTAATGTACGCAAATCACTAATATCGTAATACACGTAGGTTCTCCTTACACTTTTATCGAATCAACCATTATGATACCCTCGGGATCTTGCGAAGGGCCAAAGGTAACAGTAAGCTTTTTGTCAGCCTGTAAGCTTTCCTCTCTCGTCAAAGGTATATCGAACCACCGACTACGCGTCATGGTTGTTCTGACGCTTCGGCCGAACACTTCAACGTAGAGCGGAGCCCGTTGCACGTCCTGTGAGCCCACCTGCACTCTGATTCCAGTCATGACCAAGGTGGCATCGTTGTTTGTGATCTCAATCACGAAACCCATCGCCTTAGTCGAAACTACGTACATGCCGGTAGTGTTTAAGCGATGCTTTATTTGCGACACATTGTACACTTGAAGTACATCGTTGCCACCGAATTCGACATCGTTCATTGCTTGACACTGCTCGAAAAAGTCTATGGGAAAGTTAACCGAGCTCGAGGGCTTGCTCGTCTTCAGGGCTTTTTTCTTTTTCGTTTGTTTCATGCTTGAAGTCAAGCCTATGGGCTGTACGCTAGACGACATCCAAAATCCAGTCTGTTCCATTGCAGCCATGTATATCCTCAAACTACCGTCTTCGCAAAGTAGTATGAGAGTTGTGCGGTACTCGGCGTTTGAACTCGGATGCCGTATCGCTACCATGTCCATGATCTTGGCTTTAGCTGGTGTTACTTTGATCTCTTGAATAAGAATCGCTCCAGGTTTGATCATCAGAATAACGGGGTTGTTGCTGGTCTGAAGTACGGAACAAACTAGTCCCGGATGATTGGCTACCTCGCTCCACTGGCACAATGGCTGTGGCTGACTGTTATTCGACTTGTTACCGCCCGAGCAACCATTAGCTTTATTGGAAACACTGATCATGCTCACTAGTTCGATGACGTCGATATTCTTCATGGGAGCGACGAAACTCTTGCCACTTGCGTAACTAAAAAACAGCAGTTGCAGTGCGTGCGAGTAATATATCGAAACCCCACCACCGCAGACTTGGCCATTATCTTTGATCTCTGGGTGGAAGACTTCGAGAGTGAGGGTAACATAAAATGGTCCATGTTTAGCCAGACTTTCCTCGTCCATGGCTTGGCTATAAATGTAACCAGCTGACGACATGAGCAACATATGAAACTCATCATTTTCAGTATGAATGAACGTGCAGTCTCTAATTTTGCCTGTCGGAACGAGGAAGTAATACTGCGGACTCAACGCGTCTTTGCTCAGGTCGTATATCTTAACAAAGTCAGCAGTGACGAGGGCCAACTGGGTCTGTGATCCCGGGAGCCAAATTGCCTTGATGATAAAGTTACCGGTCTCCAATTGGGGGTGCAACACCAAATGGTCCGAGACGGATCCCAAACTGTTGAATGTCAATACGTGGCAATCTTTTAAGCCGCAAACAGCGAGAAAGTCTTCGTTCCACTGATTGCCCATCATGGAGAGAACCGTGAACGGAATCGGAGCCGTCGCGAGTCTCGTTAAAGTAAGCTTTCGTTTTGACGAATCAGCTTGCTTTAAAAGAGCACTCAACTGAAGTACGGTAATTTTGCCTTTCTCGTGTGACACAGCTGAAACACAAGTATAATTTAACCGTGTGTCGGGCATTCGTTTGATCAGTTACAAATTGATAATCAAAAATTTTTTTTTTTACCAAGATGCTGCCGTTTGCCATGCGGAGAAGATAAACAACACATTGCCACGCGTCTAATCATGTGAGCCGATAGAAGCTGCCGTATAGTCTGGCCTTGGTCTCCAGAGTAGTTCATTCTGACATTCTCGAAGGCTCCCTCTTGTGAGCCCAACGTGGGTAGCTAGAAAAATAATTAAATAAGAATTGAGTAACAGGACACAGACATTTGAGGGGAAAAAACGAAATACCTAATAAATAACGCATCTAGCCCGGTATTTATCACTCACCATAAGTTGATCCGTGTGCTCAAACTTCTTTTGTGAGTAGAACAATTCCGCCAGAGCCGCTTGTGCTCTTGCATGACATCCAACTGGCGAGAACTTTTGGCATGAAAGCTCGACTGCTGGTATTAAGGCACGTGACAATTGTACTAACGATGATACAAGACCACTACCCCATAACTTCGACAGTATCCAGTCCTTGGAGCTTTCTAAAATTATAAATAATCACAAATATTTGACAGTTCTAACAAGTTAGTTAAAAAATTTGACTCGGCTGTTTCATTCGCTGGCCCATTTATTTACCCAATTGTTTGGCAAGAGCTAGCTGCTTTTGCTTGTCCTTGCTGTTTTTATCGTGCTTTTCGTTGAAGTGAACAGGACTGGAGACTCTACGTCTCAGACTACTCGGCAACAACATATTGCTATCCGTTATTCCGGAATTATTGTGATACGACGCACCATTGTTGATTGGGTGCTCAGAACTCTGGGGGCTTCTTTTTGACAGAGCCTGGCACGAGACATCCTCTTTGGCCCCACAATCACAGAAGAAATTACCATACTTGGCATAGCTGACGTCGTGGCCTCGGTGGCAGACCTTGGCACAGACCGAACACACGCCCACGCCGTCAACCATATTACAAGTATGACAGTGATACCAATGCTGGTTCATGAATTCCTTTTGAGTTGTTGTAAAGGTGCACAATTTGTTGCAGAGGCTGTCCTCGTCTGAGTCCTCAGCACCACTATCATCCTCGTCGTGCGCAATATCATCAATCCAGTCGCTGTCAGTAATGTCATTCATCGGCTGGGCACCTTCCCAGGGTGGACTAGTCGCCCGATCCTGTACGGCTAATAGCTTCTGCGGACATACGGCTTTTACAATGTCTGCTATGTAACTCAATATACAGCAGCCTGCCTCGATGAACGATGACGATGACTTGTCGAGATTCTTTGGATCTTTGCTCAGCAGGTGTTGTTTGCTAAAAAAACAAAGTTCATGTCAATGAGGTGTTGCTCTTGACTAGAGAAAAATGACATTAAAAAATCCATTGTACCATAATTCTATCCACTCAGTAGCAGATTGAAAAAGTATAACGTGGCCCTTGTCATTACCCGCGTCAGCCAATGTTGACATCACTTGCATTAATTCTGCAAAGCTTACTCCCTCCGGTGTGGTAGATAAAATGCGATAAGCTATAGGTATAACTGCTTGAAGAATGGTCACAGATACCCCATCACTGATATTACTTTAATGATGCAAAATACAAAATTAAAATTTGCGTGGAATAATCAGGGATAAATTTGTTATATTTTAAAATAAGCTGTTACCTGTTTTCTTTCACTATGTAATTAGTAAGAGCCCGAAGTAACTGATTATTTTCTTGCAAAGATTGCTGTTCATCGTTGGATATTGATATCTGATTATTAGATGGTGTAGTATCCGTTGTTAACGGCACCTGCGGCTGACTTGTCGTTTGTTCGTTGTTTGGTACATTGTTTGAGGTATCGTTCTTTGGTGCTTCTTCTGCATTGGTAACAACAGATGCTCTGAAAATTGTTTTTTTGTGGTTAATCATTTTGTAACCGTTGAAATTTTCAATTAAACTGACTAATGAAAAAAAAAAAAAATTATTCTTACGTAGGTACCGACAAAGTCGTCGGAGTTGGCACGTTGGCCGTTGAAGAGCTGGGTGACAAGCTTGCGGAACCGAGAATAACGTGTGCCAACCAGGATTGAAGTTTTTCGTTCTCAACTTTAGCGAGATTAGACACAGATCTACAAAGTGCCTCAAGATTTCCCTCGTTATCTTTTTCGGCTGTTAAAAGTGTTATTTTTCACTCATTGGTCAACAATAACTAACAATTGTACACATTGATTTAGTCTGTACTTACCCGCTTTAAAAAGTTTATTGAAGAAATGCAAAACGTAGTTACTGAACTGTTGTGATGACTGTGGGGATGCGACTGATAAAAGGACAGAAATAAGAGTTCTATTTGTACTTGGTGCAAAGAATTGGTCCAAGGCTTTGCAGCCTACTGGTTTTTCTAAAAGCTGTTCCCAATATTTAATGCAGTGTTTTAAAATCTTTCCGTCGATCGATATGCTAAAAAGTATAGAATATTACAGTGACGGGAAACGTTTACAAATATTGAATATCAAAGAATTTTAACTATTTCTTACTTGATCGCATCTTCTGAGTTACTAGTGTAGTCGACAATTAAATTGTACGTGTGGTTAAGCACGAATAAATGCTCTCTAATTTGCCGTGATTCGCTTTCCGGTTCACCAATCAAAATATTCAGAGTCTTTGATGCCATTTCATGGAAGTATTCCGTTCTCATGTCCATCGTTAGAGCAATCAGAATATCTGTGGCGTAATTTCGAATGTCGGAATTTTCTTGTGCCGATGCAATGCTTTGATAAGTAAAAAATGTAAAAATGAGTAATTGCAAATGTATCAACGAATTTAAGTAATTAAAATTCAAAATTTACTTTATGTATTCCATGATAAACGTGACTAAGGAATGCAACAAATTCTTGAGAGACGAATTGATGGAAAACGATGCAGCTTCCGACAATGAGCTAATGTGATGGTTCATTGTAGCCAAAATATAACTCTCGGCCGGAATAATATCATTAGCATACGTATTCTAGAGTAAAAAAATGGTTTCAAAAGGGAATGGTTTCAAAATACTTTTAAAAAAATGGCATACCCATGGAACTTGAGCAACGTTTATGGCTTTCCATTTATCAAGCACAGATCGTACGTTGTTTGGTAGCATACTAATCAACCCAGCTTCGCTTGCCCAATTCGCACCACTCATACAAATAACTTCGTCAAACACGAGGAAATCTCTCAAAGTGTACTTTTTACTGCCCTCCGCAGTTTCTTGAATTTGATATAAAATGTTAGATCGGCATGACGATAAGATCGCGTCGGTCAATGACAAAATGTGCGGCAGTGTTTCGACAACTTGTTTGTGAACAATTGTAGAAGAATCTGCTGTTTGCTGAATTCTGCAGCGAAAAGTAATTGTTACAAAAATTTATGGAATTTTTCAACGAGTCAAAAGAAATAAAATGTATTACTTGGAAGCTTCGATGTTGTCGTCCAACAAAACTTGTAGTTTGCCGATAACTGCGGACAAAATGCAAAGCGAACTCAATTTTGGCAATGACGATTTAGGTATCATTTTGTCACTTGTGTTAACTTCTGGTTTCAATGATTTAATACAGTTCTTGGCAATAGCTATGTCATATTTTAGCGAATCGACGGTAGAGGAAACGGTCTTCAATAAATTTTCAGCGTACTGAGTGTACATTCCTTGTTTAACTAAGCAATCCTGTATGAAATATTTTTAACATGAATATTTCAAAATTTAAAACCACCAAGTTCCAATATATGTATTAAAATTTGTTAGTTAATAATCTTACCTTCATCCAACCAGCAAATGATTTATATGCCGTTCGAGGTCCCCATATCAAAGAATGAAGTAGTAGGGGACCTGCAGGAATTTCTTCGCCCAAAGCTAGCTTATCCACATAAGGAGTTGATGGTGGCAACAAAAGCAGCAATCTAATTGCAATACATTCAGTTATGTTATATTGGTCAAAAAACTCATTTCATCAAGCTTTATGCAAGAATACAATACCTCCAACAAATAGAAAAACAGTATTGAGTTGCACATAAACCGGTAAAGCTTAACTTATCTTTTCTTGGTAAACTAGTTTGATTCAATATATTTAAAACATCAATAAGAGCTTCAACTAATAACGGATATTTCAACTTGTCTGGTGTTCCCAAAATAAAGTTACAAGCCTATGAATAAAAAATTGATCAGGTTAGTATTTTCCACACAATACAATAATAAGACAAAAAAATGAATAAAAATACCAATCCGTCTAATTTGGGTGTATCCTGATTGTTAAAGTCATAAGCTGTAAGATTATAGAACCGTGGTTTCATGGAAAATTCGTCTTGTGGCCCATACTTGCGATAATTATCTTCGATTTCCTTCCACGATGTATATATTCTCGATGCTTGTTTATTTCCTTCCTTAGTATCGGAAATAAGACTAGTAGCAGAAAACAGATTCCATTGAACCTGAGAAAATTCCAATAAAAGGGTCAAATACTCATGAAATAATTGCAAATGTGATTTACATTCATAAGTTTGTTCGAGATTTTTACTACCGTACAATTTTTACTATCAAACAGACGGCCCTGGTATCTCAAACTAGTATTTAATAAACTAATTTTTATTACTATAGCATATGCAAGTATGTTAAAGCGATGTATGATCAATGAAATGACAAACAGTGAATGAAATGATATAAAAATAATATCAGTATTGAAAAACTGATACTGTTGTACTGCAATATGCATTTAATAATTATAAAAAGTATAATTCGAATCATCTTACTTGCTCTAGTAAACTTGAAGGAGCATCGTACAAATGTTTCATCATGTACTCCAGCAAAAGCAATAATCGCGACAGATGTAATATTTGCGAGTCTTTCATAGGACTTTTGATTGCTTCGCTACATCTAACTGTGCCGCCACCAGTCAGAAGGAGAACTGACTTCTTTTGCATCAAGTTCAATGAGTGAAAGAGAAATAAAACAAGTTGAGCATGTTCTACGTTGAAATCTATAAACAAAAAGTCAATGTAATAAGTGATAACAAGATTCATACGCATTTATAATTAATGTATTGAAAAATTTACCTTCGTTATTAGTTTCGAAAGTCGTTGGAGGATTACAAACGTTTTCGACTATTGTTGTAATTAATCGTTGCCAAATACTAATGCAAGCAGTTTCCTTTTCCAACTGTGGTTTTAACAAGAGTATCTACAAAACGAAAAAAAAAACGTAACATAAAATACAATATTGTTAGTATCTTGAGTGAAAAGTGTGAAAATGTGTATATTTACCTGAGCAAGAACACTAAGAGTTCTAGGATAAACTTGCAATGGCCATGAAGAAGAGCTAGCGTTTTCCGTGGACCATGGACTAACTCCCAAGTGGTGAAGTAAAGTATTCTGAAGAGTTTCGCTTAAAGTATTTCGCGCTAGCAGGTTGTGTGTGAACCGACTTAAAGCTTGGGAAAATTCAAAATACATCGCACCCAACGTGGCACCATAAAAAACGGAGATAGTACCCGTTTCTGTGTGAGCTGTTTCATAATCCAAGTCTCTTATTATCGCAGCTAATATCACCATTTGTTGCTCTACCAATCCATTGACTACGTAATCTCTCACATAAGCACTTCTACTTCCGATCAAATACTGATTCATGAATTGGAAAATTTGGGTTGCCAAAGAAATGTACTGTAAAACGACGTTTTATTTAGTATTGCGGTAAAAATAAACGCGCAAGATACTGTAAAATATTTTTACCCCATGGGGCTCCTTGTTGTCAGGAACAACTGTTGCACTCCGTTCAGTACTGACTTCCTCATTGACTTCTTTTGTGGTGTTAGTTTGTGCACCATCAGATGAATCTAAAGTTTCTTCAAACCAGAGTCCTAAAATAGGCTCACTGTCTTCCTCTATACATGAAAAAAAAAAAAAAAAAAAAAAAAAATGCAGTGTAATAATAATAATTTACTTAAAAAATGTTAAAGAAACAAATTAGTACCTTGATCAGTCGAACTTTCAGAACAGCTGTAAAGATCTTCATAATAAGTGGTAGAGTCAGACTGGCTCAATGCATCACCTTCAAGAGGATGCTTTTGCACTCTCTTGAGCGTGCACGCTTTCCGGTAGCTTATGGTGGCTAAGTAAAATAACAGGTGATTTAGAGGTGCAGCTTGAAAAAAAGTTGCCACTCTTTCCAAAGCTGTAGCAGTAGCTAAAATCTCCAAAGGAGCCAATTCGGGTGGTTGAGCTTGCTCTATACCAGCCTCAACATTGACATCTTCCAGAAGAGCACCCATCAACGTTAGAGCGTGCGATGCTAGGGCTACTGATAAAACACCAAAACCTTGTTGCCTGCAAGAAAAACTTATTTGAAATTAGGCTCCATGTTGTCACCTTACATGAATAAACTAGGTGAAAAATAAGACTTACACTTTCATTAAATTTATTCTACCACTACCATCACGTACTTTACTAGGCGATTTACCCTTTTCCTCTTTACTTTTATCAGCTATACTGAAGCTGCTTACTGAAAGCTGAGCTTGTAAGCCAGCGACAAGGAGCCAAACTCCCATTAACAAGTGATTTTGCAGTATCTAAAAATACATGTTAAACATATTTCAACTAATATAATAATAATTTTTATTTTTATGCACACAAAGCTTTCAATCTTACGTGTCCACCAGCTCGTGTGCTATTTTTAATAATATTCGAGACTAGGGTGAAAATTTCTAAACTTCTTTCCACAACTGTGATAGCCAAAGAATCATATTCTTCTTCTGTACTTTTGGTACTTTGGCCACTCTGTTGATTTGCATTTGAATTCGAACTACATTTTGGTGAGATAGCATTTGTAATCCCAACAATACTTGACGCTGTAGCGTTTGCGATCGAGCAGTAGAGACATGACATAGTGAGAAGTGATAATTTCTCTAATTTAGCTGGCGTCAACGGTTCGAGAATTGGCAATGAAACAACGCTATGTACAATATTGATGTCGTTGACGACTGAATGAAGACTGTGGCGAATTGTGTGAGCTTCGGACTGATTTGCAGGCAGACAAAAGCTTTTCCTGTTCAAATATGCTTGATATTTTCGGGCAAAGCGCGACAAGTGTGGCAAATTGGAACACATGTTCAAAAGCATGTCACCTGCACCCATACTTTGCAGCGTGTTTATATTATTTGCAATGAACATCATCTAATTACGCAATAAAACGAAAAAAAATTTCAAAAATTTTGTATGATGCATTGCGAATTTATAAAAAAAAAAAAAAAAAAAAAATACATATAATTTACTCACTCTAGTGTCCGTTCCTTGCTCGCTATTTGCAGCCTCTGAATTAGTTTTATTTGTTGTGTCAAGCACATTGTCACTTGGAATGGCAAAATCTTGCAAAGGCATGGTCAGCTGTTCCAGGATACTCGTTGACAGATCGCTGCGAGCACGTTTTGTCTCTTTTATTGGTTGTGGTGTGCTTTCTTTTTCTCCACTTGTTGGTGAATTTTTTACGCTTTGAGGCAGTTTTGCATTCTTCATAATTGCAATCAGTGCAACTTCTTCTGACTTTGCAAGCAACGCTTGTCCCACGCATAGTGCTCTGATTGGTAATAACAATTGTTTTGTGGTTAGAATTGTTGGAGCATTGCTTTCTCCTGATTGTGAATTTTGTTGAGGCAGCTTGCCAATCAAATATTTTAATAATATGGAACATGCTTGCCAAACAGTAGGTATTTGGCTTTTAGAGACTGAAAAAAAGACAAAAATTATTAATGAAAAAATAACAACTCTAACATGTAAGAGATTTTCACAAAGAAAATAATAACAACAATTATACATACAGGTATTTGCACAGGAACCAATATAATCTGCTGTCAAAGCAGCAAATGACGTATAAAATGCTACATATTCTTCATCATGTGATTCTAACTCTGTCTCGCTGTAAAAAACATATAGCACACTTAGTAAATATATGATTAACTTGCGTTTTTACAATTTTCATAGAAAAAGATGTCATGTGATGCAATACTAAAGTGAGTAATCTTCTGTATATGGAATGAGTCATTTATTTTTCAAAGCTATCTCAAGAGCTTGCTCCGCTATAATTTAAAATAATACCGAGAGATTTTTATGTTCATAGGATACAATCGATTCATTAAATTCATGAGCACTCTATTATAAACAAATCACAAATGCTCTGTGTAGCAGGCCAAAATAATAAAAGGTTAAATGGTGTTCAACTATTACATCAACAATAATTACGAGTCGAAAATAAAACCCCAAAGCTTGAGCTTATTAAAATTGCCTATGACAAAAAGAATTATTTCAAAATATTATTAAACACAGTGTAATCAAAACGATTAAAAATGGTGCTTTAAAGTACCATTTTTAATCGTTCACCAATAACTTTAACAGAGAAGAAAAACAGCTCAGTTTTTCCCGAGAAATTTTGTACCGTCGACAATAAATAACATAGGATTTGATGAAAAAAAAGTCATAATAGAAGTAGTCCAACTAATTAAGTTAATCAACGAATGTGTTTCCTGTGCTTAAACAAAATAACAAAATCCCAAGTCCAGCACCATGAATTGCAAAAACTCGCAAATGAATGCCAAAAATAGTACCACCCTCAAATATAAATATTGGCAACGAAAATCATACAAGAACCTAATAAATATTCAAGAAAGCCAAGAAAAAGAAAATCTCCGAGATATATAATTTTTTTATCTCTTTCTCTCTCTCTCTCTCTCTCTTATACACTCCCAAGAGAAAAAGAGAGAGAGAGAGATCCATTTCTGTACTGTCACCTTGGCTGACGAGAGCACAAGCACGAGTTAAGATAGCGAATATCTCAGCTTCCAAGCTGTATTTTAATGTAAAATTTAATCAACTACCTTCGTATTACTGCCTTGACTAGTTCGATAACATCGTTTTTGTTAAAAGATCCACAAGAAGCTGACAAAATCGGTTTAATCACGGAACTCCAGTCGACGATACCACCGCTCTTGGCTGCCATCTTAAAGTATACTGCTCAATCAATCAGGGTGGCCAACTCTACGACTCTACGAGATAACCAAACCGGGAGAGTACCCCTTCACACACACATGGCACACACACACTATCGACCAATGAAATGGAATGAAAGTGCTCACACACGTGGTATAATGATCAGCAGCCAATCAGCATTTCAGCGGCAGAATTCAAATGCAGGACGTGAAAGAATTTTTTATTCATGTATTAATAATCATCAAAAATCTGTTTGACTTTATTGTAATTTACCATTAAGAGAGTATTTAAGTTGGAATCGAAATTGGAAAGGGCACGGGAAATAGAAAAAAAATCTCCAAGACCAATACCAATTAGTGCTAAAAAATATTTATTTCCTTAAGGTCTATTTTACATCTTACACATAGGTAATTTTCAGTTGTCAAAATGTCGTAAGTATTGTTGAAACTGTAGTCTACAATTGAAGTGACTAAAGAAGTACTACCTTTTTATAAGTACTTAAAGAGCGTTTTGATTTTGAATCTCTGCGATCTCTGGGTTGAGCTGTTGTACATACGTGCCCCCGATACCCCATCTCATCGTCATTATCACTCATGTAACAGCTAGCACACCTGCATGTATTTTTTTTCTCCCACGGCCTAATGTCCAATGATTTGAATTACTTATGATCTGTATACCTACAATACATATGTATGTAAGTGAGGGAATCACTTGTAGTACCTTATATATTTTCAGTAAACACTTTTTTACTGTTGATTTATGGGGGTGGAGGGGGAGAAAATAAGTTACCAGAACTGGCCCAATACAACAGCCTATGGATAAATGGGTTAAGAAAAAATACCACCGGCATTTTGTATATTAATTACGTCATTACGTGTGTCAATGTTTTGTGATGGATATGATACAACCGATTTGTTTGTGCTAAATTTCAATTTTAAAACTGCCAGCTGAGTGTGCAAGCGTAAGTTTATATAGTTTACCCCAATATGCCAATTTGCCCCGCTTACCCCCTCCTTTAATAATACAACACAAATATGTGTGTATGATGTATATATTACGTTTACGTACTATTTACTATATATACTATACTATACACAACACGTGTGTATATATATGTACATGAGTGGATGACTCATCCGTCCCCTCGTGGTTATATATATAGAGACGCAAGGCGAGGGGGGGTTGCGTCTAGGTACGTGTTTTCTGTCTGTGCTGCTTCAAAATGATAAAGAGATGAGAGAGAGTGTGTCGGAGAAAAAGAGAGCTCTGGGCTTTTACAAAAACGGTATTAAGTATACAATCGCGTGTGTGTGTTTACCTACGGTGAATTGAATGGACTAAAAAGAGAGCGAGAGAACAAAAAAAAATAGAGAAAAGCTTATGACATAAAAAAAAAGTAGTCAAGTATTTTCTCCCTCTATCTCTCAGTCTCTATAAAACGCAAGTTTTGCCATACGCATCGCGCTTCGTTATAATTGTGCAGTCATTTCTCTATACTTACTATTGGGAAGTTGAGAAATAATGAAAGTTATTGTACCCACGACTCCGTACCCCAGAGAGTCCAGGGTCCGAATTCTCCAGAGAGCAGTGGAGAATTAATCTTTCCTCTCTGCAGCAGTTTTTATCTTGAAGTACAGTGTGTATATGTGTATAAGTAGTGTATAAAAAGAATATCAAACGCTTAAGAAGAAGATAGAAAGGCAAACTGCAAAAAGAAAAAAAAAGAAAAAAAAACGTAAAAGTTACTAGTGTGTAGATAGATAGACAAGGCAAGGCAAGCCAGCAGAGCGTACAGAGAAGAATGGGCTTGCACGCACGTAATTAGACAGTTCAGTCTTAATCAGTGGCCCGTTGTAGTCTCCGTTGTCGTCGTCGTCATCGGATGTACGATTTTGAGGTGCACTCTGGTCTGACTCATCATCACCCAGGAATCCATTCATCTGAGAATAGTGCTGCAGCTGCTGTAAGAGCGCCTCACGCCCACACCACTACAGTCATTCAGCGTGTCATCCGGGCGCCCCTGACGTTGTCGTGTGTTGATAAAAAAAAAGAGAGAGAGAGAGATAGCAGTCAAAAACATTAAAATACACAGATATATATAAGTATACCTCTCAACCCGTCCATCAACACACCTCCTGGGTCATAATACTTACTTGTATATTTATACGATGCGCTACCGGATAGCGTCCTCCAAGAGCTCCGCTAGAGTAATTAGTGTTTATCAGTGGAGCGTACTATGAAGAGGTAAAAAAAAAAAAAAAAAAAAAAAAAAAAAACGAGAGAAAGAGAGTTATATATAATAATAGAGAGAGGAGAGCAAGCGTGCGAGTACTTTACTACCAGGAAGAAGATGACGCAGCAACAGCGATGCTGCAGGTGCAAAGACAAAGAACAGACAAGAGGGGAAGTTGTACATTGCTACTGTTATCATCAAGCTGTTTGAAGAGGAAGCTGCGAGCTCTGGAGCCTCAGTCATGCTGAGTCTCTGGCTGTGCTGCTGTTGGGCCAGCAGCTTGCTTGTAGCTGTTACACAGGCTTATCCTGTTACACCTGCTCATGGTGATTCCACGGGTGAGTGAACACTACTATTTTCTCTTTTTTTTTTTTTTTCTTCTCTTGGTCCTGATAGCTTTGAGAACTAGAAGATTTTGGGTTTTTACTTAAGGGCTATACAGATTTTTTTTTCTCCCATGAAATATTATTTCTAAATTCATCGAAAAAGTTTTGTAATGTGGGTTTGTACTTGTACTGCTGACACATGAAATTGCAAGTTTCTAGAAATAGAAGAAAAAAAGCTATGTAGGCTTAAGTTTAAATCGATTTTTCAAGTGGTACAATCATTGAAACTTCAGTGTGATATTTATACATATGGATTGCATTGTGTTTTTCCTCATGAATAACATGCTCACTATATACTTTGCTCTTGCAGCTTCTTTTGAAATCAATATATATTTTATACTGAAGAAATCAATAAGTTAAATTGTACTTGAAATGTTTTTTACTTTATGTTTTTTTTTACCCTTTGAATTGGGTTAAAATAAAGAGAAAAAAAATTTCTTTTCCTTTCATAATTTAATTATAATTGATGGTAATTCAATGTATTTTCTCCACAAGTTATTATTTGTTATTGCAAGGCTTAATTTTTTTTATGGATACAACAATGTGCATAATTTAGTAATTTTAAAGCTAATGTTTAGGTGACATATGTTTATAAGTACTTTCTTTTTTAAACATTTTTTTTTTTTTTGTGCACATAAACAAATAATTACAGTAATTTTTATTGCAGGCCCAGATGAGTTGTTCAAACATTGGGACGACAACTGGCTCAAGTATACCATAGGAATCTTGAGCATAACAGTTTCAGCTTTCACTTTGGTTGGATGTTTGTGTTGTCATAGAAATCGTCGACCTAAAGGATTCCAAGTAATAATTTTAGCAATTTTTATAATTAATACACTACGAAAAAATTTTCTACTATTGTATTCAATATTTTGAAAAATTTATTTCACGCATCAGCAACCACTAAAATACTTGTGTATTCTTATCCAAGAAAAATTTAAATGCGTAAAAACCGTTGCAGCGCTATAATATACGTCACTTATTTATCAAGCCTTCTCACTTTATGTTGCCATAAAACTCAAATCACGTAAAAAAAAATATATCAGCTAATAAGCTAATAATTTAATAAATCGCAGTAGCTAACTTTGCTAAACTCTAATGTTCCGTATTACTTTAAACATTGCAATTTTATTTTTAAAATGTTTGTATTAATGTACAATATCATATCATCATCATCATCATCATCACCATCATAACGTAAAATATAACCCACCAATATTGCCATATGACATTCACAGTAAACATGCACTTTATTTTGTTTAATTATAGGACTCTGCTGGAAGTATTAATAAGGTAAAATTAAGTGTCAAAACTCGTGCACTGTGCACACTGTGATGTTTTAGCTTTAGCTGTAAGAGCAATTGTTGATATGCCTTGTAAAAATTAGTGCAAGTCTGTGTTGTTATCTTCTTCTCCTCCCTTAAATCTCTGTACATGATTGTGCTACGGCCTCCAACTTGTTCTAATGATGATCGCGTATTGATTATAGGAATTCAAGGATGGCGGTTCAATTGACAACGACTCGTCTGTGCCGCAGTTACAGGGCTTGGAGCTGCAGGTACCAACGCCGAATTGTCCGACGCAGCAGCTCATCAGTGACCGAGTGCAATTCGAGCCTCTCCCGCCGGTCGAGCGTTTTGCGCCTGAAATCGGTGCGTCTCCGTGGCCAAAGCTACCGCCACCGTCCTCGCCTTCGTTATTCGATGAAAACAGCGAGTCCGATCGCTCGACCCTCCATGATTCCTGCCACGAGTGGTTTCAAAAAACCGATTTACACGTGCCCCGCGAAAAACTCAAGTATCTGCGAGAAATTGGTCACGGGTGGTTTGGCAAGGTCGTTGAAGGATGCGCTGACATTCAGGGCACTAACTTGGTAAGAGAGAAATTTCGTAAAATGCAAAGACGCACATAGTGATATCGTATGCTCAAATTGAATTTCTCACGTACGTTTGTATACTCTTGCTTTAAGGGAAAACCAAGCGTAAAGGGTGGAAACGTCGTGGTAAGGATATTAACCGAGGAGGCGTCGGCAAGAGAGAAAGCCTGGTTTCTCGGCGAAGCTACGCCTTACTTTAAGCTTCGTCATCGCAACATACTGTCGCTATTCGGCTCTTGTTTGGAAACCGATCCGTACCTGTTACTTTTTGAATCTTGTCCTCTAGGCGATCTCAAGGGCTTCCTACATTCGAATCAAGATCCGCAAACCAGAGCGGCCCTTGTCAAAGAAAACTTGCCCACGCGTATAGCCATTGAAATTGGTGCTGGTTTGAGACACATGCACGAGCACAAGCTCGCTCATACAGATTTGGCAGCGAGAAATTGTTTGGTTGCCTCAGATCTATCAATCAAGTTGGGTGACTATGGTATTGGCGTTGAAAAATATCCTGAAGACTATTATGTTTTAGGTACTATTATTTGTCCTCTAATTGATTGTTTGAAAATTACGTCACGCAATAAATTTTCAATATTCACAGGCGATAGAGCACTGCCCATAAGATGGTCAGCACCGGAGACGATCGAATGTACAGAGACCACGATCGAGACACGAGAGATAACACCACAAGCCAATATCTGGAATTATGCTGTTTTAATGTGGGAAATAGCTATGTGGGGTAAAAGACCTTACTCTGAGCTCAGTGATGAGAAGGTCATTGAGGTGCTGCTGTCACCAAAATCGGAACTCAAAGCTTCGGGCTCACAACTGCTCTTACAGAACTGCGATAATTGCGCTTCCAACTTGTTAGAAGCGATCAAAACGTGTCTAGTTCTGAAGCCAGAGAATCGACTTCCTCTTGAGAAGGTACGTTTATTTTGTACTTGAGTTTTTTAATTTGTAACGAGAGCTTTTGAAAAAAAAAAATTAAATTTGATTTGTCCTAGGTGAGGCACGTTCTTTTAAAAGATCAACTCGAGGCCGAAAGCTCGGACTTTGAACAGCGTTGGTTAAACCTTCGGCCCAACGTCTCTACGAACCAAACACGCAGCGCAAGCTTGCAAGACTTGCGCGGGAGTCTGGACTCTGAGCAATGGCCCAGTCTCATGCAAACATCGTTCCGTCTTGGACCCGAAGAACCCGTGAAAAACGTGCCAGGCGGTACCGTCCTTGCGCGAGGCCGCTGGCCTTTCCGTGAATCTGACTCGGAAACTGAGGAGGAGAGCTGGCGCGGCCGGGTCGAGCGTGGTGCCTACACGGAGAAAGTCAAACAAAAATCCAAGTCGGTAGCTGACTTGATGGTTCTGGTGCACATAGAGCCAGATTCCGATGCCGATCTATCTCTGGGACCGCAGGTAACGCGAGGCTTTCGTGCATGATTCCTTCCATGTGTTGTGTTGAAATGATAGAGGCAGCGAATTACCTTTTTTTCAAAGTATTACATTGTATATTGTAACGAAGGTTGTGAGACTATTAACATAAGGTTTTTTTTTCTTTTTCTTAAAATCACGTATTATATGACTGTATTGTCAAGTACAATTGCATACTTATAGGCGACTTTATATACACACGTATATACTCGTTTTTGACTGATGCATGATATATATACATATATATGTACACGTGTTCTGTCAATCCACAACAATCAAGTCTTGTACTTATTTAGATTTTTACAAAAGTTTACATTATACACATACATATATTTACGAAACATAATCTAATTGGGGATTTTATGGCATATTGTCAAAGACTTGCTTGATTAATCGGTCATTAAAATAACGATACAAAAAAATCACGATCAAATTTTCTCATTTATTTCGTCCGATCCTGTAATTGTAGTTTAGTTGAAAAACTGATAAAAAAATTGTTCCAATCATGTGTATCCGATATGCGACGTGCCTACATGTTCTCTTTCTTTTTATTATGACTATGATTGTTCTCTGTCTACCTCTCTTTCTCTCTATCTCTCTCTCAATCGCAACACGTAGACGCCGATGACGACGGAGAAGACAAAAAAAAGGCTCGTAGCGATAGGCAGTGACGGTGATCTACCAAGCTCCGTTTTCGACGAGCAGTTCGATCTGGCATTAAGAAATCTCCGAGACATCCCGCTCGTGGTACCAGCCAACGCTGTTCATGTGTCTAGAGCGGCAATGCTGGAGAGACCGAAAAAGTTAGCCTTGACCGAAGAACATAGGACCCAAATTGTCAAACTAGTCGAGCCTGATGATGAAAAGGAAGCTGTCGAGAAAAACGATTCTAGAGCTTTAAACGAGGAGTCGGAGTCGAGTAAGTTTTTTGTTTAAACATTCACCTTTTTCTATCATTCAAAATTAATTCATTTTTTCGTGCCAAAATTTTATTTATTGGTATTACAAAAAAAAAAAAAAAAAAAAAAAAAATGCGGATGACGTTTTGCTCCCCTTTTTAATAATGAAAAAAAAAAAAAAACGAAAATTGCTGACTACTGGTGCAAACCAATAAGCCATGCGTGACTGAAAATATTTTTCTCCACTACAGTGAAAGTTCGAGGAGAGATTTACCGACGAAAACGCAAGCCTTTGCTGGATGTCGAAGTAAATCGTGTGTTTGTAAAAATATTAGGAATCGAGGGTAGTAGCTCATTGACATGTGAAAAAAAAATTTTACTTAATAAAAGTAAAGCCCACATTATTTCAATACGAACATCATTCACTCTCGAGTGAGTTTTGCGCTAGGAAATGTTTTTATCATCACCAATAGTAAAAAATATAGGTACTAAAACAAACAACTTAGTATTACCAGCGAGGCTACTGCATAATACTATGACATTGTCTGTACTAATGTGCCAAGTATTTTTTTAGCGTGAATCACCAGTTTCGCGCCCTCGGGGTTTGTTTAATTTACTGTTTTTGTAAAATGAAAATAGAAAACGGCTTCCTTCGACACTTTGCTTCGAAAGTTTCATTAACACAGACAGTTAAAATATATAATTGAGTGATTATGAGTCACGTGCCTTAATTGCCTTAATTGCATATTAATGTTTAACAACCGAAAGTTAAAAAAAAATTGACTCAATGTATTTCCCAAGGTTTATATACTTTTTCTCCCAAGCGCAGAGTATTGATAACATAGTCTTTGAATTCCTTATCGGGTTCTCAGCTTATTTGTAAAAAAAAAAATGAAAATTTTTGATACAGTTCTCCACCAGCTGTCCGAGACGAAAATAAACCAAGTCAACTGTACGCTTCCGTTAACTGAAAAAACAACAAAGTCCCAGCTCGTCACCTCGGTCCTGAGCCCTGACGAGGCGCCATGTTTCTCAAACAACTTCCAGGTGACGGACTTGGACGACGAGGAGACCGACACGACGACCGTCGTCGAGAACTTGAATTACACCAAGTCGGGCTTAATGGACGTGAGTTCGTGGAACAGTGCCCTGGAATCGGCTCTCAAGCGGAAGGCCACGGAATTTGGGTCTTACGACGCGACAACTCCCTCGCCAATGCGTAAAATCGAAGCTGCATCTAACGAAGAAGCGATCACGCCGTCGCCGCAGTCACGCGCCGAGTACTCGACGGAGGATGTCGAGGATGAATTCTCCAACGCCGAGGACCTACCGGGTTCGTTGTACAAATTATATTTTACACATGTAATACCTTTGACTGAAATTTTAAGGAAAATTGCAAACTAATGAGTGCCAAATGTATAACTTTTGCCACTCAGGTCTGTCCAAGCGTAATCTGCCGTTGGACGACGAGGACGACCGGAAGCGCATGTCGACGCCTGATGACGAGCGTAGCTCGGACTCTGGTTTTCGGGACAAGGAGTCCTGCGAGGAAGAGGAGAGCCCGCTAGCCGGTCCATTGCCGAACCTCGTGGCTTCGCAGTCGAACACCCCAAAGTCCTCTGCGACGCATGACAGTAGTGCCGAAGACGAGCAGATGCGCATCCTCATTGAGCTCGATACGATCCTCGACGCTGAATGTTACGGTGCTTCTCTCAACGATTCATCGGATCCGAGTGTCGAGAAATCAATAGTTCAGGTATATCATGCACATTTCTGGATTTTGTCAACAAATTTAAATTTTCATCCCCCCCTCCCAAGAAGAAAAATAATTGTTTACATTTATTATTGTTACTTTGACCTATTATTTGCATACGATATAAATGAAATTCGTTCAGTACTAAGGATTTTGAGATCCAAGTAATACATTCATTTTACGTGTTACTGATATGAAAAAAAAAAAAAAAAGTAACATTCGGATAGAAAAACACTTTTAATCCGTAAGCACAAATCTGTATTACATGACGTCATTTTTATTACTCATAAAACACTGGTATTTAAGATAAAATCGCTTGCGATAAGTCATTAACTTGTGATATACATATATAGACAGGTGCAGTAATGGCACGCTTTTACCGAACTTATGCATTTTTTCGTAGGATTCAGAAAATTTGGTGTCCACCACGCTGGAGCATGAGGTCTCAGAAATGATGGCCCAATCGTCCAGTGAAGCAACCGGTGAAACCATACAGCCAATCGATAAGTCAAGCACGAGTGACGAAGTAAATCCTAGCACGAGTGCATTATTAGACAGCCAGCCAACTTTCTCGGAATCCGATGCACAGACGGCAGTGAGTAATCGGGCTGTACTAGCCAGCAGCGATGGTACGGCAACCAGTGTGAGCCAAGCAATGGGTGAGATCAGCAGCTGGCCCTGTCTGGCAAGTCTGAATGATAACAATGAAGATGAGGACAGCTCGACGATGTCCATGCGCAGCGACAATTCTTACTTATCCTTCGGCATGGACGAGGAGTTTGTCGCGGCCATCAGGAACGAGCTGAGGGAAAAATTGCCGCACGCACAGATGCCTGTAGTCGAGGTTCAGGAGCCCTACGATGAGGACGAACCCTCTATCGTTAGCGATATTGATAGTAAAAATTGGGAAGATGAAGTTGAGGATGCAGAATTCCGTAGTGGTGCGATCGATATTTCTATTAGGTGAATAAATAGCAATTAAACGTACAAAAAATATTAGACGATAGTAACCAAATGGAAAAATTAAAAAAAAAAAAAAAAAAACAATTTTTAGGTATAATACTTTTGGCACGCCGTTAAGTCCCATAATGGAGGAGCGTGACAGCGCTACAGATTCGACAAATGTAACGAGGGATAATTCACGAGATGCATCGACAGCATCCAAGGGTGGCAGTAATTCTGTTTCAGAGGATGATGTGCTCCTTATTGATACTCAAACGAATCATGCTACACTAGTCGAGGGATCATCGCACTCTCACGAATCTCGGGTAAATATTAATACAAAAATGACTACTTGTATTTTTTTTCTTCTTATTTTTCTTTTTATATATTTTTTTGTACAGGAGTTTTCGAATCAGGACATGCCCGATGACGCGCAGTTGAAACAGTGTTCCAAACCCTCTTATCCGCTTGACAAGAGATTCAGTGGTACGATGTCTGGTGGAACAGGTGCCCCACTACCCAGTCCTGAAGATGAAGATTCAAAATGGCAGTCAGGTTTTCCGATGTTGCCCTACCAAATACAAGACAATCTTATGTCTACTAGCTTTTCGAGTGAACAAGACTGGGACAGTAATGAGGAAGATGGCCATGAAGTACCTAGCGTTAGCATTAGCAACGAGTTAGATGAAGACGATGACGATGATGACGATAATGGTATGTTAGATGAGGACGATGACGATGACGATGAGGAGAGTAGTTCTAGTTCAGGAGAGTTTGTTTGGCAGGTTAGTATTTCGAGTAAAACATTACTTTGATGCTTCAAGAATTTGTTAATATTGGAGAAATTTTATGTAAATTGAATATTTATCCCATTAGCAGTACAACACAGGACACATAGAAAGTCACGAGGGAAACTCTCCAAAAATAGAAGCAAATGAAAATACAGAAAATGATCTGGGCGAAGACTTTGATAGTGATGAAGACGAAAAAGACGATGATGATGATGACGATGATGAAGAGGAAGAGGAAGAGTTTACACCGTCAGCATGGGATGCAACGTTAGCACCTCATCGGTCAGCTCTCAGATCTCCGGATAAATCTCTCAGAACAGGGGTAAGCTATTTTCATACTAACCCATTAGATAACTAATAAGAATAAAAACGTTTATTTTAATATTTAACATACAAGGTTAATAAAAGTGCTTGCAATTTTTACAGGATCAAAAAAAAAGTGTTTGGTTCAAAAAGCAGCGCTATCATTGTGTATACGAATATCCAAAGGAAACACCGACTCAAGCTCCTAATGTACCGGCTTGGGAACCAACCTCGTACACAGGTTTGTTTTCATCAATGAATAAATTTTACATTTATTTTTCGTAGTTTAGGTTTTTGTTTAAAAATTTTTTGCATGTAATTTTTTGTTTTCATTTTCTTACTCAGACTGGGAAGAAATGATCGACAACATTGACAGAATGAATTTCCAACCAATGGATTATTTTGAAACTAATAATACCCGTAAGTTCCGAGCATTAGTTTCTAATGAAGCTTGTATTAACTTTCAACATCAAGCACATTTTTAAATATTCGTTAAAAACCACTTGTAGATTGCTTCAAGTAAAATCATTGCAATACTTTCGAGTAAATAATTGTTATGCATAATTACACGTAAATAAGTCATCTGTCACAAAAATTGCAGTCTTCCTAAGTAATCTAATTTTGCTTATTTATGCTTAGTTTGTTGTATAAATTTAATTTAATAATCATATAATCATATTTTTCTAGTGATAAAAATAAAATAAAATTTTTGCAGAGGAGACAAAAAACAACTACTTACGCTTCTAAAGAAAAAAAGTTTGGCTTATAGTCTTGATGCTCGGTACTCTCCGGTGTCGAATACGATGTCCCATAATGGACCTTATTTTTTTACCTTGTTTTATTTTCCAATTCGAATTTTTGGAGGTTTGTTTTTATAAACAATTTCAATATTTAAACAGCTATCACTTCCGAGCAAGCGATGCGTTCAAGTAGCGAAATAATTCTTAAATTAATTTAAAGCTGTCTAAACAATTAAATTGTTAATAAAAAAAAAAACCCAGACAAATTCGAGCTGAAATCGAAACAAAAAAAAATATCAATCTATACATAGTCATGAAATAGGGTCGAAAAAGCTAAGGTTTATCCCCGGACTTCGTATTGCATACGAAAGAGTACCTAAAATCAGGAGGACTATTATGCAATTTCCAATCGTATGTTAAATTGTTTGTTTTCTCTTAATTTCCAGGAGGTGAAGAAGAATTTTTCGTTAGCAGTTCTAACCGTCCGTTTCAATTTCAATCGGGGAATGGAAAAAATGTTAGTCAATTTTTTCCTGGCGCTGGTAACAATAACAGTGAGTCAACGCCAAAGTCCCAAGAAGATCCGAGCCAAAAGTCCGAAAGTCAGTCGAATAATGAAGAACCAACGACGGTATCAGGTGCTGCACCGCAGTTCTTCAGCGATCGTCAGCAGTTAGGCAAGCTTAGGCACACGCGCGACCGCCTAAAGCTTAACTTGGTCACATCGTTATCAAATGGTAATGGCAAAAACGTGTATTTGTGTACGCCGGTGAAGCAGGGTAAACACGTTGTTGAGGATGACGATGACGACGACGACGACGACGAAGAGGAGGAAGATAAAGATCTCAATAAACAAACGAGGTTAGCAGATAAAAATTTCAATGAAGCGATAGTGGTGGTGGACGAGAGTAACAATATAAGTACGGGTAGCGAGATTCGCAAAAACGAGACTGTTCCGATGGTCCAGCTGTCCTCCCAGACATCCCCCAAAACTTCGCCGTCCGATGCTGGGCAGTGCAGCAGTAGCGGTAGTCTCGACTCAAAGAGTAAATGCGACAATGTCGATTAGTATAGGCTGTTGTTTGTGATTATTAGATAGAAGAAGTGAACTTTGTGATCTTTGCCGTTAATAGTGCATAAAGTCCCTGTTGAAAACGTGAGAAGTTTTAGATGATCGTGTATGATTAAGTGTGACGCAATCTCAAGTGAAATTTTTATACTCTACGATTTTCGTGTACAGTAAGCATGCTATGGATATGTGTAGTTTTTTTATTTTTTTTTTTTTTATTTATGTGCTCCTTATTGATACTCAAACGAATCATGCTACACTAGTCGAGGGATCATCGCACTCTCACGAATCTCGGGTAAATATTAATACAAAAATGACTACTTGTATTTTTTTTCTTCTTATTTTTCTTTTTATATATTTTTTTGTACAGGAGTTTTCGAATCAGGACATGCCCGATGACGNATTTTTCTTATTTATTTTCTTTGCAAAGAGTATAATTTTTTTTCTCACGTTAATGTAATTTAATTGAGCATTACAAATCACTAAGATTAATACGTGCGCTATAATACGTATTACATGAGAACTTGCATAAGTATTTTTATGTAAAACTTTTTGCTACTATTTATTTACAATAGGTGAGAAAAAACACGGAACAAAAGCAAGGGTATGATATTAATTTTTTTGATTTAATAGACAGCTAGCTGCACTCTTCAGTCTTAAAATGCCTATTTCATAAACTTTTTTACATTTATACGTTTAATGCGAGAAATCAAAAAAAGGAGGGGGGAGGGGCATTTAGTCTCACGTCATCAATGTACGGTAAAAATTACTGTGTTTTCTCTAGCATAGAAAATTTTAAATAAGAGTAACGATTCTAACTTGGAATTATTGTCCAAGTAAAATATATCCAATTGGCCAAAGTCCGTCCGAAAGAATCTCTTTGGGTTTCTTTTGTACATAGTGGAGCGTGCGACTCGATCGCTTAACAAAGCAGAAAAGACAGCCAAATTGGATTTACGTCCTCGAGGTGATAAAAAAAAAATAATAATAATAATAAATAAAAAAGTCAAACTTAGGTTCACGTTGCACTAAATTTGTCCGGGAATGCATATACATGTATGTATATGTGTATTATTTGTACATATAGTATAATGTAGGTCGTGGTTTATTTTATGCACTGGAAATAAAAAAAAACGAATGGTAGTGCCTGGATCATCAAAACAATTATCATCGTTCATTTTAAATAATCGTCCGTTGTTGTTGTTGTTATTATTATTGTTCGTGATAATCGAACAAATTTCACATATAACTTCATTTATTCTTAATAATCACATTTTGCAATGTTTACAGTAGCTCTCTATTAAATGAGAATATCGCGAGGAAACAAAATAAATCTGTATACAACTTGATTAAGATATCTCGTGAGACATAATTTTATTCGTACAAAAGTATGAATAATTTTTATAACCAATGCTCGACTTACTTTTTATCAAGCGAACTCTCATTTTTTAAACCATACAAATATATATATATATACATATGTATACACTTTATTGCATTTGTACATGTAAACGTGCCCTTATCTGTGCCGACGTGTGTACACATGCATATAGTATAACGGAAGATGGGTCCACCGATTTATGTAGTTTCGCAGTATTTGCGAACAGCAGTTTTTAAAATAATTACTAATTCCAATTATAACGCAGTTTTCATTCAAATTTAACGGGCCTACGTAATTAAAGCAGAAAAATCCTGAGATACCATTTTTAAGAAGTAAACAATAATAATAATATTATTAGTCATAATAGTAATTAAAAAAAAAAAACAAAAAAAAAACAAAAAAAAAAAACGAAGACTATTACGAATCGTAAGGAATAAAAATATTATTCAAGTACATCGTCATCCATTATTCAAAGATTACGAAAGTTACCGTAAAATGATTTTCTCAAACGATTGTATCCTCAGACACAATTAAGTACGATCTATTGTATTCATCGTCATTATATGTAATTATAGTATTTGAATAGAAATTAATATATTGTTATACATAAAATTTTCGTTAAATTTCAATTGTACCTGTACCCTCTCTAATCTCCTCTGACTTTAAATACCTTTTATAAAAACAACAAAAAGTAAAGCGTTAAAAAAATCTTTATTTCACATTTACAATCATTAAGTATCGAAATTCTTTCATTAAATTGTTAATAAAAAAAAAAACCCAGACAA